TCAGGTTCGATTCTGGTCAAGGGCACATGCCCTGGTTGTGGGCTGGATCCCCAGTTGGGGGTGTACAGGAAGCAGCTAATCAATGATTCTCTCTTCATTGATGTTTCTATCTCTCTCTTTCTTCTTTCCTCTCTGAAATATATATATATAAAGAAAAGAACAAAAAGGGGCTTCATCTTTGAAAATTTGGGAACTTCTGTTTTATATGTCAGAGAGAGATGTATATTTGCACTCTTGGCACCTTCCTTTATTAATCTCTAGAAAAGAGGATTCTCTTCCTAGGTTGTGTGAGTATTTCACCTGATTCATGCTTCAAGAAAAGTAGACACTTTCATTTTGATATTTTGCTTATTATATCATCAACCTGTAGTTAAATTTTATACTGGAGAATTATAAATGATCAACATTTAATATTCAATTTAAATTATTGTTAAGTCAGAATTGATCTTTTGCCTTTCATTTACATTATTATTCATAAGTACTGTATATGAAAGTTATTCTTTTCTACATCTATGATTTGGTTTAGTATAGATTCTTGCTTAAAATCTGGGCATTGATAAAAAATAATTGGTTGTAAAACCTTGTGAATTTGCATAATTTTAGAAGATTGATCTCTGAAAATGTTAATAACTTTGAAGAGTACATTAAAAATGGGGTATCAGAACATGAATAGAATTTAATATTTGGTCCAATTAAAGGTGTAAATCACAGGATGTAACTTGTCTTGAGGCAAAGACTTCAAGTAATTGAGTTCCTTTGGAAACTGCAATTCAAGGCCTGCAATTTGAAGCTTGTATAAGAAACTCATCAATCTATTGCCTTACGTTTCTCCTCAAAGACACAGAGCAAGAGGAAATGATGGTCAGAGACCAGCCCTTCCTGTCATTTAGTTGAGCTGGCTGTTAGGAATTTTTAGTGAAATTCCTTCTCTGTTCCATTTGAAATTTTTCTGAACTAAAGACACTTTACAGGAAAAGAGGAGATTAATTAAAATTGTTATAGTTTCTGAACTCTAGGTGAACCTTTGTAGTGCACATAACATGTGAACTTCCCTTAGACTCTCTATTAAATATGATATAATTATTGCATTTAGGCACCTGCCAGATTCTACTTCATAATCTCCATAAATGCTGTATTCACCTGTCCTGACTAGTCAATTAAAGACCATGTTCTTTAAGGATTTTTGTCTGCTAGTTCTGCTAAGTCATTCATAATCTATTGTCTTACCTTCAAGATACTAAATTAGCTTTTCTTCTGATTTTGACCATAACAATACTCAAATAATAGTCATATTGCTTGTAAATGATGAAGAAACTTTAACCTCATGTAGCCTTCTTTATTCCACTTCTTTAGAAACTTTCTCCATTTTCCTCCATATATTCAAATCATACCTTTTAAAGTCCAATTAATGAGCTATGATTTGAAAAACAATTCCTGTAGAAAATTAGCTTTCTCTTTTAATTCTTAGTAGTTGACTATTCTATAGTAGTTGTTTTATTTATATTTATTTAAATATATACATAGCTTACAAATGACTCAATGAACAAATTATTAGAAGCAAATGTTAAAAGGTATTTAAACATTTTAAAAAATATATAATATATGTTATATTTTCTGGCATACATAGTTACATAAAAAATGCTTATTTAACTGCACTGTTAATCTCCTTTCTGCTGGCATCATTGGATCAATAGAAATAATATAAAAGTAGATATTAAGTACATTATGTAATAAAATTTCTCAGTGCTTATCCATATTTATCACAAATTGGTATTATAGTTAAGAATTTTTCCACAATTTTCTGAAATTATAGTGTTAATTTCATTCATTCATTTATTAATGCATTCTCTTATTTTCATTGTATTTATTCAACAAATCTTTATTAAGAACCTCTAGTGTTCCATACATTAGACTAGTATTGAAAATATGTCTTCACTAAAATAGATACTTTATACTTATTATATAGATTATTTTATACTCATAATAATACAGAATGTTAGTATCATTACAATGAAATTCATAACCTGCTTTCTTTATCCTTTCTTGTTTAGCACTAACATATCTCAAAATACATAAATATTTTGTCAGTAGATATGATACAGAAAATTCTGAATAGTGTATTTTCTTTGAGTCATTAAGCTCTTGTTTTGAATTTTCATAGTGTAGGTATACATTAGGGTTGACATTCACATGTTCAACAATCATATATTCAACACATAACTCACGAAAGTTTATAGATACAGAAAGGACACAGGGATGGATCAGGCAAGAATTCTGGACAACTAGTAATAGTCATATTGTTTGTAAATGATGGAGGAATTTAAGGGATATGTACACAAGTGATTCTAATATAAGACAGATAGAAAGTGCCATAGAGAAATGTGCTATTGGAATTCAAAAACATGTTATTCCTAAATAAAGAATTAAGGAAAATTTTTTTTCAGAAGAATTAGATTTTGAGCTAAACCTAGAAAGATGAAAAGAATTTAGTCAGAGAAAATTGAATAGACAGAAAAGAAAAAAAAAGAAGCTAGTAGAAGCACATAGAAAGTGTTCTTTGACATTTAAATCATATTTCATTAAAACAAGAAACATTTCCCCCAAAATTATTATATATTGCCATTACTTTTTAAACATAATTATGTTTAATTATTCAACTTAGGTAAGCCCATTTAAATTTAATGGGAAGAAAGATTTAGAAAGTTCCTAATTTCCAGAAAATTATTCTAAAATCTCTATAAGATGAATGTAACTCTGTAGAGCTACTTTAAGAAATTATTTTACTCTGTTCTGGTTGTGTTTGTAGTGTGTGGTAATTGTGTCTTTTACCAAATAGTTTCTGAAACAAGTTAAATAACATTATTATCAATACTAAAGGGCTGGTGCAAGAAATTTGTACACGGGGGAGGGGGGGAGGGTCGGTCATTTTGTAGAGATCATATTGTATTCACATGGGAGCGGCCATCTTGTTTGTTGGAGTGATGGTCAATTTGCATATTACCTCTTTATTATATAGGATTTTTTATGTACTGATATACATAACAATCTCATCTACACTAATAAAATAAATATAGAAATTGACTGTAACTCTGTGATGCCCACCAGCCAATCAGGAGTGAATATGCAAATTAAATAAACAAATATGGCAGCTTTATTTGCATATGTAGGCATGAAGCAGCCAGGCGGATCAGGATGCCTGCTATGACGGGGAGGTTGGGAGGGGTAAAGGGAGCTACAGGAGCATCACTTCTGCCGGAGAGCAGACTGAAAGTTCTGGCCAGAGTGAAGGCCTGGGTCTTGGGTGCCAGAGGAAAATCAGTGCTGGCAGCCAGGGGAAGGAAGGCTTATTCTTGCATGAATCTTCATGCTATGGGATTCCAGTTGAAAATATTAGGAGTTGTTTTAAATATGTAGCCAAGTTGCATATACCACTCTGTTTACTGTCTGTGATGTGACACAAAACTTTCCTCAATCCTAAAAAAGTGTGCTGTCTTTCAATATGTAATTGGGACAATTGAAGTATTACCCACAATAAACACTTTTACTTCGTGATGGCTTTTCTGTTTAATTTACTATAAATTCACCAATTACTTAAAGTTGAAGATGGTCATTTCCTTAATGAATATCTTATGTTATGCTTAGCTTTAAAGGTATCACTCATCTTTCTCCTATTGTCTATAGTATTCTCTTTAGACTTTCCCTTCACCCCTTTCACTATGTTGTCCCTCAGGCCATGAAAAACACTTGTGCAATACATGTAGATTTCCTTTCACTCCAAAATGAACTTACAGTTGCTTCTTTCTTTGCCATATTCTCTCCTCCAAATATTACTTAATAAATCATACAACTTTCCTTGGGTGCCAATAAAGTTGATCAATAAATGATCAAGTCTGTAATGATTTTGTGGCAATCAGTTTTACTGGTTTCTATAGGAGAATCAACTAATTATATATTGACTCGTACTTTTTCATGAAATTTATAAATAAGCGAAATAATTTTTTTCAGAAGAAAATTTGAGTGACTAATTTTTCTAAAAATGCATGTTTTATTTCAAGTTTATACTTTATACATAACTGCAAAAAATAGAAACAAATATTCTCCAACTGGTGAATGAAGTAACTGTAGTACCTCCTCACAACAAAATACTGCACAGTAATTAAAAGAATCAGAACACAGATACATACAACATGAATAAATATCAAATACATTATGCTAAGTGAAGAAACTAGCCACCTATTATATTGCTTCATATTACTTATATGGCATTCTAGAAAAGGCAAAACTGTAGGAACAGAAAACAAGTTATGGTTTCCAAGGCCTGGGTTGAAAACTTGACTACAAAGAGCTGGAAGGAAACATCTTGGATTGATTTAAAGGCCCTGTATCTTCATTTTGGTAGTTTGCATTTGCCAAACTGTACCACAACAGGCAAAACATACTGTATGTAAAATAACATCTAAATAAATCCAGCTTTAAAAAAAATAAGTTTATTGATATCAAAATTTTTGAGTCAATCTGAAAAATTATATTCAGTAATCATTTAGTGACCCCATTAAGAAAGGAGAGGAATTCTTGATTCATTGAATTATTTTATGAATTTTCCTCTTTTCAGAGTACCAATAACCTTTCCTATATCTTTTGTATTACAAATAAAAATTATATTTTAGAAAAAAATAGCTATATCAAACAAGTAACTTGTTTTTATTATCTTAATTATCAGTTCACTAAAACAATCTTCAAAAATAACTATTTCATTAAGTATAGGCTTGTTAATGATAATTATCTGTTCTGAAAATTACTACTACTTCATTATTAATACTTGAAAACTATTATCTTTTACCTCTCACAGTCTAGTAAGCAACTTCATAATTCAGACAGACAATGGAGAAAAACTCTACCAGAAACTCTCACATCACATAACTGATATTCAGAGATAGGAAACAAAATAACAAGATTAGAAATAATCTGGGGAAGGATTATTTAGACAGCAAATGCCTTACCTTTGCGTTTGGGTGGCATAGCTATTATCATATGTCTCATAAGTCTGGTCATCATATTCACCCCCGTAGCCATCATCATATCCCTGAGGCAGAAAATGGTAGAAAGACCTATTAGCAATTAATTTGATTTTCTTTAATGAGATTTTACATACTGTTACCTTGATTTAGTTTTTATGCTGGTTAGTTATACTGCATCATGTTTTACTAGATTAACAATTTTCATAACTTTGAATAATATTTCATGGATTACATAGTAATCTATATATATAAAAGCCTAACGGACCCTTATGATCCGTTGACTGATTGACTGCTTGCTGTGACATGCACTGACCACCAGGGGGCAGATGCTCAATGCAGGAGTTGCCCACTGTTGGTCAGTGCACTCCCACAGCCATCCTCTTGAGGCTGGCCAACCTACTGAGATCCCTCTCCCTAGCCTGCTGGCCCCGATCAGGACTAGCCAAGAGTTCCCCAATTGGTCCTGATCATTGGCCAGGCCAAGAGACCCCACTCATGCAGGAATTCTTGTACTGGGTCTCTAGTGTTTAATAATTAAACTCAGTATACCATTGAAGTAGCGATACCTATTCCATGATTTATTTAGAATTTTGACTGATATTAATGAAGACAACTTAAGAAATTCAAAATATGTTTTTCTATTGAAAACATTATGGGTAGATGAAAACTATCATAATCACTTAAGAGTAGTGCTAACATTTTTGTTATAACTGTATTTGGAGGTTATTTTTCTTCCATGTATAGTAATCACTAGAGGCCTGGTGTACAAAATTTGTGCATTCAGTGGAAGGATCCCTAAGTTCAGCCCGTACCCTATCCTAGTCTAGTAGCCCTTGGGAGATGTCCAACCTCTGCGGAGGTGGGAGAGGTTCCTGCATTCCACTGCACTTGCCAGCCATGAGCCTGACTTCTGGTTGATCAATACTCCTTCTGTGGGAGCATACTGACCACCAGGAGCAGCTCCTGCATTGAGTGTTTGCTCCCTGATGGTCAGTGCATGTCATTGCAACAAGTCGTTCTGCCCTTTGGTCAATTTGCATAATAGCCTTTTATTATATAGGAATGGTGGCCTGGTACATGAAATTTGTGCAAGGGGGGGAGGGGAGTATCCTTCAGCCTAGCCTGCACCCTCTCCAATCTGGGACTCCTCGGGGGATGTCTGATTTCCCTCTTGCAATCAGGGACCAGTGGCTCCTAACCCCTCACCTGCCTGCCTGCCTGATCACCCCTAACCATTCTGCCTACTCAGTCCCAACTGCCCCCCCTTGCCAGCCTGCTTGCCCCCTTATGTCCTTCCCTCTGGCCTGCTCATCCTCAACTGCCCCCCCTCTCCAGCCTGATTGCCCCCTACTGCCCCCTCCTTGCCGACCTGCTTATGCCCAACTGCCCTCCCCCACCACTGGTCTGATCACCCCTAACTGCCCTCCCCTCCTGTTCTGATCAACCCTAACCACCTCTGTGTTGGCCCCGCCACCATGGCTTTGTCTGGAAGGACACCCGGAAGGTCTCATGGTCTAATTAGCAAAATACTCTTTTATTAGTATAATTAAGATTAAAACTATAAAATGTAGGATCCTTATATTGTAGTCAACTTCCTGCAAAATGGGTATAGTCAAATTGCTTAAAAAAAAAAAAAAAAAAAAAAAGGAAAAGGCAAAATAAAGACTTTGGTTTGTTGTGCATTTGATGGCTTTTAAATCTCATAAGTAAAATGTTGTAAGATAAATTTGATTACCTGACTAAATTAATGCTAACAAAGCTAATGTGCATTTTCATTGCACATTGTACAAGCAAGCTAACAATTATACACTGTAGTTATCAGTGCCTTTGTGTGTTATTTAGTTTTACTTTTCTTTGTAGCCATTGGCTTTACTCTAAATCCTAGCTACTCATCTTGACTTTTGGGAAAAAAACCTTTAGTTTTTATGCCTATGGACCTTTGCTGGTGTGTTGCTTTCTCTGAAATGGAGGATTTCTACACACCCCGCAACAGGCTTATAAATCTTTATCTTGTTCAGAAATATAAACAAAAATGTGAAGATGTTGTGAGATGTAAGTTTCCACATTAGTCTTGACTAAGACTTTTGAGCTCATTTAATTTGAAGAGTAATATATTTTATCAAATTAAGAACATTCTTAAACTTATTTTTTATTATTTCATCTGTTCTTCCCTTTACATAATGTTATTATTTATATATGAGGCTTTCAGAGTTTGACTTCAATTTTTTCAATCATGATTTCCATTTCTTAATATATTTGCTCTGATGTACGGGGTAGTTTTCATCTATTAAAATCTACTGACTTAAAGGCCATTTTGTATTATACCACCTTCAGGAAGTCTTTCCATCTCCTTTTAAGCATATGGCAACTTTCTACCTTGTGAATTATAATAACCTGTGAGTGAATTATAATAGCCAGTGAGTTTTTTTCTCACCAATATTTAGAATGTGCAAACATACTGCATTTTTCTACACCTTTGCCTCCTTTTAGAATTTAAACTTCTTAAAAGCATATACTTGTGGTGCTTAGCATAATGTATTCCTGATAGTGTCACTCAATAAATATGTATTGAATTTTTAATTAGAACAAAGGAAATTTTCTCATCCAGTGTAGATATGGATTGCCTGAAATCAGTCACAACTGAAACATAGATATTTCATATGATGCCTATATAGTAGTATTGTATCTATTTATACAGAATAGCTTTTTCATTTGGTCTGTGGAAGACTATTATATTTTTCTTCATCACTTACACAAAAAAATTCACAGAATATATAGGAATCTTTGATATTTTCATTTATGTTGGAAAGTAAAATGAAAGGTAAACATCTAATATGTATGTCAGAACTTTAGTTGTCAGTGCTGGGAATAACTTTTTTCTAAATTGAAAAATGGTTTCCACAAACTAGAATAATATTTTCATAATGTTGTGTTCAATTCACAATGAAAAGGTTATTGACATAACACACTTTTAAGATAAATCTGGATTATTAATATTTCTCCATAGTTTTCTTGAGTATGTATATTCATCATAAGAAAAGGTCAAGTCCTGGCTTTTAGAATTTCCAATATCTGTGTTGTAAATACTCTTACTATGGCTAATTTCAGGCTATTACCATGATGTCCTTAAAAACAGATATGGAAAGATATAAATGAACACGTTATATATCATTTTGGTTATTTAGAGTATAGACTGCAATTCATAATTGTATAATGAGTTTTTAAATTTTAACTAGCTTTGTCTTTAATATAATGTAATTTAATTTTTAATAACAGCTATGTTTAACAACCAATTCACAAAATTTTTTTTTTATCCTCATCCAAGGATGTGTTTATTGATTTTAGAGAGAAAGAAACATTGGTATATCACAATTGGTTGCCTTTCATCTACACCATTTGGGGATTAAACCAGCAATCTAGTTGTGCCCTGACCAGGAATTGAACCTGCAAGCTTTGGGCACAAGGGACCATGCTCCAACCAACTGAGCCATCAGACAAGGGCCAACATTCTTAAAAATATTACAAAGGTTCTCACGAGCCAGCACACATCAGTTCTAGTACATCATTGTTTTTGGCTCACAAGAGACCCTCTGAGGACTAGAAAAATGAAATATCAATGGAAAATGTTTCAATAGAGTATGTAATTGGTGCTTTGGGAACAATGGAAGGAATATCTAAGCCTGCCTGATGGTTTTAAGGACAATTTCTCTGGTAAGGCCTTATTTGAGATGGCTATTGGTACATAAATATATATTTTCTAGGTGGACAATGGGTAGTGTGAATGTATATCAATTTTCAAGAACACTGAGTATGAATGCATTGCAACATGAAAGAGAGCACTGTGTTTGGTGAAGTGCTAGTATTTGGATGTAACTAAATCACAGAATTCCTAAGAAACGGTAGGCAGTTGGGCTAAAGAAGTAGGTAGGGTCCTGGCTGGTGTGTGGGGAGGTTCCTCAGCCCCGCATGCCCCTCTCACAGTCCGGGAGCCTTCAGGGGCAGGAGGTGACCTGGAGATATTATGTATGTAAACCTGTGAAGGATTTTGTCTGATGGTATTTTCTTCCATAAGATTAAGTCTCTCCTGGCAGGCAGTTGGGATAACAGCAGATAACCTTGAGGCCATGGAGAGATGGTTTTAGGTAATTGGATATAAGGAGTTTGAAGCTCAGTCTGAGCTAGAGCTATAGCTCTGAAAGCCATCAACACATAGCTGACAATTGAAATAATCATTGTTCAGAGTGTTTACTGAGAAGAGAGAAGCTTAGGCTACACCATGCTCAACACGAACGCAATATTATAAACCCTCTTTCATTGGTCTCTATATCACTGGGCAATGAAGGCACAGACATCAGCTATTATAAAAAATTAAAATCATATTTTGTTTATTTTTTATTATTTTTTAAAATATATTTTATTGATTTTTTTACAGAGAGGAAAGAAGAAAGAGAGCTAGAAACGTTGATGAGAGAGAGAGAAACATCAACCAGCTGCCTCCTGCACACCCCTCACCGGGGATGTGCCCGCAACCAATGCACATGCCCTTGACCGGAATCGAACCTTGGACCTTTCAGTCTGCAGACCGATGCTCTACCACTGAGCCAAACAGGCTTTGGCTAAAATTATATTTTGTATAAGACCCCACTATAAAAAGAAAATCAGTTTAAATTTATATTACAAAAAAAAAAGGTGTATCACTTGAACAGCCTGCTGCAAAATCCACATGCAAATGTATTTTCTAAACGTTGACCTGTGAAGATCTCTGTTATACCATGTGTACACTAACCACAGACACCAAATCAAAAAATTCTCTCACAATAAATGGGAACACAAATAGAATATGTATTAAATTTCCTCTAGGTATATAGTTTTTCTAATCAACACCCATTTATAGAGTTTTTGAAGATTTCTTGTAACTTAGAAAAGAGAATCATCACAAAAATGGTTTAGCACTTCTCTCAACACATATTTTGGAAATTATGTTACTGACAATTTGGATAATGATTATGAATTTTCTTGTTTTAATAAGCTAAACTGGACCATAAGAAATATATATATATATATA